CTCGTTTCTTCCAAAAAAAAAAAAAATTAGCTGGGTGTGGTGGTGCATGCCTGTAGTCCCAGCTACTTGGGATGCTGAGGTGGAAGGATCGCCTGAACTCAAGAGGTTGAGGCTGCAGTAAGCTGTGATCAGTCATGATAATGCACTGCACTCCAGTCTGGGTGACAGAGTGAGACTCCGACTCTGTATAGATGCAGAGTATCTCCAGCACACATTGTTAAGAGACAGAAAGCAAGGAACAGACCAGTAGGTATAAAATGCCATTTAAGTTTTTTTTAAAAAAATGTTTTTTAATCATTTAAGTTTTTTTAAAAAGAGAGAAAAATACATATACACACACCCTTGTGACTTTGCTTATATCTGCAGAAATATCCTTAAAAGAATTCACAAGAATTGATGACGCTGATCACCTTTGTGGAGGGCCTTGATGAAGGTGGGGGATAAAGAGGAAGGAGATTTTTCCCCGTAGAGCTCTTGAAGTTTGAATCATTACTTTTCCAAAATAAGTAAATAAGGAATTGCGTTAAATATATCTAAGTTCACCCCAAACATCTCATCATGGACTGTAATTGAAATTGCATTAAATTTATTATTAATTTGGAGAGAAATGACATTTTTATATATGCATCTTCCCAGCTAGTAGCATGGTTGCTCCATTTATTTAAATCTGTTTTATGTCCTTTAGTAAAATTTTACTGTTTTCTTCAGATTGGCTCACTTATTCCTATCAGACTGATTCTTAAGTATTTCATAGCTGTAGCTGCTATGAATGAGATTTTGAAAATATTGTAATTTCTAACTGGACATTGCCAGTATAGAAGAAAACTATGGCCCTGGTTTCTAACTAGGTTTTGGATTTCTTTCTGTTTCTATTGGATTTTGGTTTCATTAGTAAAGGATGAGAACTTTAGTATTTCATTTCCAAAATCTCCATCTCATTTCTTCTTCCTGTTTTCTTGCATTCCTGGAACCTCCAAAACGATGCTGGGGAACAGCTGTACTGGTGAGCATCCTCATCTCATGCCTGATTTTGAACTGATACCTAGTGCTTCCCATGGAGTAAAATTCTCTTTCTAGTTTCTGGTAAGTACTTAGGAAAAACTTTCCTTCTATCCTAGTTTGAGAAAGCTGATGAGTTTTATCAAACATCATTTGGCATTTACCCAGAAAACCTTTCCCCCCCGCTTTATGAATGTAATGAATTAAATTAGTAGATTTCCTCATTGCAAATGATTCCTGAATTCCAGAAGTAAATCCTACTTGGCTATGAGGTATTTGTCTTTTAATATACTGTTGAACTTGATTTCCTAATATTTCTTTTTTTTTTGAGTTGGAGTCTCACTCTGTCACCTAGACTGGAGTGCAGTGGCATGCTCCTGGCCACCGCAGCCTCAACCTGCTGGGCTCTGGTGATTTTTCTGCTTCAGCCTTCCAGGTAGCTGGAATTACAGGCATGCGCTACCACGCCCGGCTAATTTCTGATTTATTGTAGAGATGAGGTCTTGCCAAGTTGCCCAGGCGGGTCTTGAACTCGTGGGCTCAGGCAATCCACTCACCTCAGCCTCCCAAAGCGCTGGGATTACAGGCTGAGCCACCGAGCCCAGCTGATTTCCTAATATTTCATTCAGGATCTTCCACCTCATAAGTGGGACTGCTTTACAGTTTCCTGTTGTGTATGTTGTCAACTTTTGCAATAGGCATTACACTAAGCCTTGTAGAACAAGGCGGGGAGATGTTCCCGAATTATCCACCTACCCGGAAGTGTATGTTCCTTGAAAGGTTCAGATACCAGTACTTTTAGGGAAAACAGATTTTTGGCAACATTTTCAATTTCTTCATTGATAAATCCAAGAGAATGCATCGCTTTCTTAAAAATAAACAAAAACTCCCCTGAATTGTCCTGATACCCAGTGTTGTTACTTTTTGTTCTTTGTTGGACATCCAAAAGTTTATTAAGTTTATTAAGTGTATTGGTCATTTCAAATAATACATTTCGATTTTTTATTTCACCAGCATTTGCTTTTTGTCCTTATTAATATCTTTTCCTAGTTCTTTTCACTTACTTGTCCATTTTTAGCTTCTTGAAGAGAAGATTTTGTTTTTAGTCTTGTTTGTGGGAATGTAAATGAACTCTGCCAGCCCATGGGCTTTGGCTGAGCAGTTCTGGCAGCAACCTGAGTCTTCACGCATGGACCTCCCGGAGTCTAACTGCAGTGTAGATCGGAACCTCGTCTATCCATTTCCCTTAGAACTCTAAGCATTGACACCTTGCCACTTATATGTAAGATCTGTGATTCTCAGCCCTGGCTGCATGTTAGAATCATCTGGAGGTTTACAGGGAAAGGAAAAAAAAAAGCAAAAACAATGCCTGGTCCTTCCCAGAACAAATCAATCAGATATCTGGGCTGGGCTGTCCCCAGTGGTTCTGAGTTCCCCCTGGGTTCCTCCAAGGGGCAGCCCTGGGTCAGGCATTGCGAGGTAATCTGGTTTATTCCTGCCTAGAAGCCTGTAGCATTTTTTCCTTTGCCTTTGGAATTCAAAAATTCCATCAGCTATGTCTAGGCATGTTTATTTTTTCTCCCAGCTGTCGATTCTCCAAGAGTCTTCATATCTGAAGATTCGTCTTTCCTGAACTCATGCAGATGTTCTCCTGTATGTCATTGGTGACTGCCTCTCATCTCCTGAAATTTCTATTTTATGGACATTGATTTTCCCTGTTTATTGTCCATGTCTTACATCTCCTTCTCAAGATATCCATCATTTGGAGTTTGGCTCTGTATGTGGGGAAGATTACTCAAATTGACCTTTTTCTTCAGAAATTCAGTTTTCAACTGTATTCATTCATCTATTTAGTGCCTCTTTTTGGGATGATAAGTATATTTAATTTCAAGTATCCCTTTTTCCTAACACTTTGTTCTCATTTACTGATGCACTGTTCTCTAAAATCTCATGCAGAATACCAAGTGGTGCCAGCTCACACTCTGTTCTGGAATCAGGACTGAGTTTGTCTGTTGACCCCTGTCTCCTCTCACGTCTGGGGCTTGCCAAGGCGACTGTGAACTTTCTTCATGGGCCAAGCTCCATGCCTCACCCGACAGTGCAGTGGCAACAGCCCCACAGGCAGGGCTGGGAATGTCACCCAAATTTTTCGTGCTAATGGACAGAGATAGCGCTGCCTGATGCAACCCTTGTGTAGGGCAACACACTCAGTAACAGCATGAACACGCCCTGGATATGGCCCCAAGCAGCAGGCTGGAGCCTGGGAAAGGGTCTTGGGGGTGGCCCACTCAAGATGCCCTCTTCCCCTCAGGTTCCCTGCCTGGGCACGCAGGTTATGCTGAGGACATGGGTGAAGTGTTCTCTACACTTGTTGACCACATCTTGTACACTCTTCCTTGAGGCAGTCTCCATCCAACTCCTGCCTGGTTCACACTAGATCAGGCACACCTGGATCAGTGCCCATTACCCTTGGTTACCTTTAGTTCATTATAATACAAAAAATCCCACCCCAAGGAGAAATCGTAGCCATTTTGTCTGCATGCGACGTATGTAAACGCACCTTCTCACACAGCACCTGCCCGCTAGAAACCCCACCCTTTTCATTCTTAACCCTGCACTCTGCCCTAAGTAAAATGCTGTATAACCTGTGTGCCTTTTACAATCAGGAACACTATTTTTCCTGTCCAGCTGACTGCTCCTGGACCACCTTCCCTGTAAGTAAGTTACTGAATAAAGCCCATGTCCTATCCGTTGTCTCCGGGTCATTTCTTCGGCCTTTTGGACACAATGTCTTCCCTTTTGAGGGTCCAGCACCTTGCTGGGTTGAATGGCCTCAGTTCCTATCCTCTTCTAATCTCCAGAAGGCACACAAAGTCCACGAAGGTGTCTGGATCTTTCCAGAAGCCCATCCACTCTTTGAACCCTCGCGGAGGTGAGCCAGCAGGTGCTCTGCTCAGCTCACTGTTAGGTGTGTGGAGTGGGTTCCATGTATCCTCTTTCAAGCTGGTCTAAATTCTATTATTTCTGGAGGATGTGGCTGTTTAGTTTCAGCGTGGATGAAATATTCTTCCTTTTGTGTGTGTGTGTGTGTGTGTGTGTGTGTGTGTGTGTGTGTGTTTTCTGTTAATTTGGTAGTAATTGGAGAGAGGTTCATGAATGCCCACTCATCCTAACTCCTGAAAATTCCAGAACCTCTTTTGCAAAATCTTTCTTTCCAGAACAGTTGGGATATACATATGATTCTATTTTCTTCCATATTCTTTTGGGTTATTTCTCTATTATGACAGTAATACAGAGTTGGTAAAGTTAGAAACCTCAAAAAGCAGGAAGACAGAAATGATCCCTAACCACAAGAGGAAGCCACTGTTCCCTGTCACCTACTTCCTCCCCGCTCAGTGCAAGGATGTTGCTTTAGCAGTAACATCTCATAGACCATGCCACAGCCCCTACTCTTATCCGATCCAAAGCTATCCATTAATCTGCCGCACACCCACGAACTTCCCATCCGGGCCACGCCCGCTCTCAAGCCCGCTGGTGCCAGCCTTTGCCTCCTCCCTGGCCGGCTCGCTCCTGAGCCCCACCATGTCTATTCTGCGCTAGCCTTCTGGACTCACCTACCTTCGGACCTCTGCAGCCCACCCAGCCTCTCGTTTTTCGAGTTGTCGGTTCCAGGTTTTGCTGCTTTGCCCAATTTGGTGCCTTTTAAGACGTGTATGCGCCTTCCCTTCCCGAAAAGGCAGGCTGCGCACATCTCGTGCTTTCCCATGTGCTTTTTCTGCCCCGCCATGATACGTGGGGACAACCCACCGGGGCACGATGGCGCGTGGAGAGGCCCCGTGGGGACGCGGTGGCGCGTGGGGAAAGCCCACGGGGGACACGATGGCGCATGGGAAGGCCCCGCGGGGACGCGGCGTCGCGTGGGGAAAACCCATGGGGGACGCAACGAGCGTGGGGACACCCCGCTTCGGACGCGATGGCGAGTGGGGTCGCGGGCGCCTTACGCTTCTTGCGCTCGCCGTTGGCGGCCGCGCAAGTCTTGGTGTAGAGCGCGCGCACGCTCCGTAGCTCCTCCTCCTTCTGCCTCCGCCCGCACGCTGCGGTCGCGTGGCGGTCGTGGCTCTTCTCCAGCTGCATCTGCAGACGGGCCAGGTGCTGCTGGACCCCGTAGAGATTCACCCCCAGCTCCTGCCGCTGGACGCGGCTCTGCTTGGTGGCCACGCCCTACGCGAAGAGAGATCCAGGGTCACTGAGGCGTCGGCACTCAGCCAGGGTGGCGGACTGGACAGATACGCACCAGCTCATGGAGTTCGAGTTTCAGCTTTTCTATCTGCCGGTTAAGGTAGTTCTTCAGGGCTGTCTGGAATCTTATCATCAGGGGCTAAAACAATGGAAAAACCACATGCGGTTACCTTCCCGTCCCATCCAGGCTTGGCCTAGGTGGCCACAGTTCTCCTGCTAGGGGTGGTGGAGGGGAGATGGAGGGGCCAGAGATGACTTCCACGCAGAGGGTTCCCCGCTTCTGCCTGAGTTCTTACTCTGGAAGCCACAAATTAAAAGTACTTCATGGTCTCTTCCCACCGAGCCAAGTGTATATTTTGGCAAAATAATGGTGAGCTGGGGTATGGTCCCAGAGACCAGAGAGCAGGAATGAGCAGTGGTCTGGGGAGTTAATTTTCCCAGTGCAGCCCCGCCTCCTTCCTGCTGCTGCTTTGAGCATCACACCTTCCCAAAGGGGCTAATCAAATAAAAATGTCTTTGTCATTTGTTGGAGGGGTAGGACAAGGAATTGCAGTCTGCCTAGTACACCCAAGGCAGTGGCTCTCAACAGGGGTCTTGTGCTCCTCACCCCTCAACACTGGACGATGTCTGGAGACATTTTTGACCATCACAACTAAGTGGGGGAGTGCTATGGCATCTAGTGGGTGCGGGCCGGGTCTGCTGCCTAACAGCCTACAGTGCACATAACAGCCCCCACCACAAAGAATGATCTGGCTCTAAGTGTCAGTAGGGTGGCGGCTGAAACACAGGCTTAGGCGTGTGGACCTAAAAGAAGAATCCACTTTACAAAGCAGTAGGCCAAAACAGTGCGGATAAGTTGTGTGTTGGACGGGTGAGACAGGAACACAGTATTCGGGGGACCAGGAACAGGCCACCGTGGAGGGAGAGGGCAGAAGAGGGCCTAAGTTATTCTACATCTGTGTAAGGCAAAAGCAGAACGTGAGAATATTTTCTTACATGGTCTGGGTCCAAAACCACCAGTTGGGAACCTTCGTCTTCCACTTCGTCACTCCCCTCCGACGCCATTCTGTCCGCCAAGGCCCTTTCCTCGGCACTTAGCAGTTGAACGGCTTCTTCTCTGGGGCGAGCATTGGACTCCTCTGGAGGAACACCTGGGGGAGGAACAGCAGATATCATTGAGGAGTTGATGGAGAGAGTGCTTAATAATTCTGTTCTGGGAGAGTCAACAGGCAAAGCTGGTTTCCAGCTTCATGCAGCATGATGAAAATGAGAGAGAAAAAAGCATCCAAGCAGCCTAGGATGTCAGAAACGTCATTTATAGCATCTTCTATTCACAGACTCAACACATTCCATGGAAAGGATCACATTTTAAAGATAGGCAAGAAGGAGCTTATTTTGTAGAAACTTCCTTTTTTTCAGTCTTACTCTGTTGCCCAGCCAGGCTGGAGTGCAGTGGCACACTCAAGGCCAACGCAACCTCGACCTGCTGGCCTCAGATGATCCTTCTGCCTCAGCCTACCAAGTAGCTGGAACCACAGGGGTGTGCCACCACACCTGGCTAGTTTTTTGATTTATTGTAGAGATGAGGTCTCAGCAAGTTGCTCAGGCTGGTCTTGAACCCTTGGGCTCAGGCAATCCTCTTGCCTCCGGCTCCCAAAGTGTTGGGATTACAGACATGAGCCACTTGCCCAGCCAGAAACTTCTGTTTCATACAGAGTGAATAGAAAGGTGGCTACTTATTTGTGGATTAGATATGACTTTTCAAAAATGGGAAACAGCTGATAAGATTGAAAAAGAAACCAAAGCCGGGCTCGGTGGCTCAGCCTGTAATCCCGCGCCTTTGGGAGGCTGAGGTGAGTGGATTGCCTGAGCCCGCGGGTTCGAGACCCGCCTGGGCAGTGAGACCTCATCTCTACAATAAATCAAAAAATCAGCCGGGCGTGGTAGCGCGCGCCTGTAATTCCGGCTACTCGGAAGGCTGAGGCGGAAGGATCGCTGGAGCCCAGCAGGTCGAGGCTGCGGTGGCCGGGAGCGGCCACTGCACTCCAGTCTGGGTGACAGAGTGAGACTCCAACTCAAAAAAAAAAAAAAAAAAAAAAAAAAGAAAAAGAAAAAGAAACAAGATTGTAAATGAAGCTCTAGCTTCAGCGTTTCTATCCGTCCTGGTTGGAGAGATGCCTATTCTGTTTTTTACTAATTTAGACAGGTGTTGTTTTCATGTTGCTTATGAACGACGTAAGGTTTTGGACCATCTGCACATTCGTACCATAGGGAACAAGTAATCCCCTGATTTGTTCTCCCATGCACACAACACTGGGATACCAGAGCCACGTAATAGGACAGAGGTCTAGGAAAGCCTCGGAGACTCGGCAGACAGATGCACACTCAAGGCTGCTGCAGCAGCACTCCTCTCTCTGAGACCAGGAGGCAGTGAGAAATGGCTCCATTGGGCATGGAGTTGGGCGCCGTTGGCTCTCGCTAAGGTTCTGTTCTGCCACTTACTTGGATCAGCTACTTATTGCTTTTAGGGGACCCATCTGTAAAATGAAGAATGGTTCCTGTTTGTCAGGTTACTCGTAAGAATTAAATGAGATAAAATAGAGGACATGCTCAATACATGTAGCTAAATTTGTTAATATTTTTATCTTTAGGCTCACAGCCACTCGGGAAACAGGCAACAGGTGACCATTGAGTGGTGTCACTTGTGCAGAAGGGGATATGCAAGTGGCTTATCCTGTTGGACAGAACAGCCCCAGCTGGTGTGTTGGTACCTGGTTCCTGCAAGAAAGGCTCTTCCATGTCCAAGGATATGGTGCTGCTTCCCCGGCTCATTCTAAAGGGGTGTCGTGCACTCATAGGAAAGACCTGCTGGAGCTCTTCTGGGAATTTTGCCTGTGACAAAAACAACCGAAATTAGATCAATGAGAGCTTAATCATCACTGAGAAGTGACTTGATCTTGATTCAGTATATTTTGTGAAAGTTACATTGTTAGACTAAAAATGGAGTCATTTGTGTTAAAACAACAGCAACAACAACAACAACAACAAAACCCCAAAAAACCTGAACAACACAGCCATAAAAGGAAGGGTCTCATTACAAAAATTATCGAAAGAACAAGCAATCAACAAATAAAAAACTCCACAAAACCCACGATCTTGTTCAAAGATCATTGCAACCTTATACACACACACACACACACACACACACACACACACACACACACACACACGTCCAGCCTCGAATTGGAGCCACCCTTGTAGCCAAGAATAATTATCTTAAAACAATTGTATAATCCTCCTCATTCTTCCTTTAAAATCCTTCATTTTCCTTTACCTCCCTGAATACAAATGTAATTTACTATGTCACACGTGGAGGCCAAATCAACTCCATATTGGATGCTAATATCCACCATGTTGATTTCTGATTAATTTTCATTTTGGAAAGATTGCTAAGATTTCCTGTTTATCTATTGTCCCTTTTGTAAGAGCAAGTACTTACTGTAGATCCTGCCTCTAGGTCAAAACAACCTGGATGTTGTCCTACTTTAATTGTCCTACACTTCCTTTCTGGATGACCCCTTCCTGATGGTTTATAAGCCTTGGGGTCTGGGGGATAATGGTGAAGGGCTCCACCATCTTATTGTGGCTGGAGACACAAACATGGTGTCTGTTAGATGTTTCTTTTTTCTTTTTCTTTTTGAGTTGGAGTCTCACTCTGTCACCCAGACTGGAGTGCAGTGGCTGCTCCCAGCCACCGCAGCCTACCTGCTGGGCTTCGGCGATCCTTCCGCCTCAGCCTTCCAAGTAGCTGGAACTACAGGCGTGCACTACCACACCCGGCTAATTTTTTTGATTTATTGTAGAGATGAGGTCTCACGAAGTTGCCTAGGTGGGTCTCGAACCCTCAGGCTCAGGCAATCTACTCACCTCAGCCTCCCAAGGCGCAGGATTACAGGCTGAGCCACCGAGCCCAGCTCAAATCTTTCTTAAATTAAATGTTTCCCTCTTAAATGTTTCTTTCTGAGAAATTGGATATGTCAGCCTCTTTCTTCAGTCTCTCAGCTTCCTCAGACTTTGGGGGTAGATTTTTATAGACCTGCCTACCATGAAACAGCACGTGGATTCCCATAGCAATGCCCTATCCTCGAATAAATATCATTTTCTTTCAGAGAACCTCTCTCTGTTTGTCGTTTAGGCTGACACGTTACTCAAAGTTTAACACAATTGGTAAAGTAATAGAAAATCATTTGGATATAAAGATTGTTTGGCTTTTGCAAATTGTCAAAACAGAAAACATCTAGCCCTCTTCTCAGGGAATTCAGAAGTGGTTTCTGTCTGTCCTGATCTGCAGCTAAGAGTAAATACTGAGGCATGGGTGTGTGTTGGACGTGGGAGCCTTTATTCCCACTCGCTGATCTCCTAGAGCAGCGGTTCCCAACCTTTTTTGGCATCAGGGACCTCTTTCATGGATGACAATTTTTTCCATGGACTGGGGGCAAAGGGGATGGATGGTTTTGGGATGATTCAAGCTCATCACATTTATTGTGCACTTTATTTCTATTATGATTACATTGCAATATATAATGAAATAATTATACAACTCACAATTTAAAAAAAGAGGTACAGACAGAAGTGGTAAATAAAATAATGAGCAGGCCACATGTGGACTAAAATAAGCATCAGATCTGACTTCAAGCTTGCCACCAGATGCAGCTGTACATCCACTCACTGAGAGGATTTTGATATGAGTCTGCAAGCAATTGATTTATTATGGTCTCTGGGCAGTCAAACCTCACTACTGATGTAAATCCGAATTTGAAGCCGCTCCCCAGTGCTAGCATTACCCCCTCAGCTCCACCTCAGGTTATCAGGCATTAGATTCTCATAAGGAGCGTGCAACCTAGATCCCTCACATGCACAGTTCACAATAGGGTTCGTGTTCCTATGAGAGTCTCATGTTGCTGCTGCTCTGACAGAAGGCGGAGCTCAGGCGGTAATGCCAGGGATAGGGAATGGTTGTAAATACGGAAGTTTCGCTCGCTCCCTGCGGCTCACCTTCTGCAGTGCGGCCCAGTTCCTAACAGGCCATGGTCCAGCACAGGTCTGTGACCTGGAGGTTGGGGACCCCTGTCCTAGAGGATGGGAGACAACATCTTTACATCTCCTCTTTATAAAAGCGGGCTGAAAGTCTCTGCTCCAGGCAGAGGTCTCCCAAGAAGACCGTGTCTTCTTCTTTTCTTTCAAACCATCCCCATTTCAATAAGAAAATATCGTCTGCTGACAAAAACGCCTGGCTCCATTTTAGCTTTAAAAGAGACTCTGGCAATTATTATTATTGTCAAATAATTATTGCTGATGATGAACTGGTGAATACTGGTAGCAACTGACAATGAGACAGTGCTTTACTACCCTTAAAGAATATTTTACGAATCCTGTCTCATGTTCCCCTCACCATAACCCCACAAGTCAGGTACTAGTCATTTCTGTTATCTGTAGAGGGAAGAAGCACACTCACAGCAGCTAAGAGCTTACCCAAGTCTGCACAGCCAGCCATGGGTAGGTTCAATGCTGGGCTATCTCAGTCTCCAGCCCAGGCACTTTCTAACTATACTTCCTCAGATGATGCTGACTAGAAATTCTTCACCCTCCCTTCTTCTTCTCCTTCCCCTCCTCTTCCTCCTTCTCCTCCTCTCTCTCTCTCTCTCTCTCTCGTTCTTTCTTTTTTTTGTCAGAATCTCATTCTGTCACTCAGGCAGGAGTGCAGTGGCATGATCATGGCTACCACGATTTCAATCTGCTGGGCTCAGGCTATCTTTCCACCTCAGCCTTCTAAGTAGCTGGAACTACAGGCACACACCACCCCACCTGACAAATTTTTATTTATTTATTGTAGAAACGAGGTCTTGCCAAGTTGCCCAGGCTGGTCTCAAACTCCTAGGCTCAGGCAATCCTTTTACCTTGGCCTCCCAAAGTGCTGTGATGACAGGCGTGAGCTACAGTGCCTGGCAGAAATTATTTCTGAGGCATCCAGAACCATAGTGGCATTAATGGGGCCTTGAGTCATGAGAAGTTGATGAGGTGGCCATGCACACAGCTGGACACAGCAATTCCTACTCTCACTGTCCATCTTTCTTCTGAAGACTCCACCAGCCCTGAGGAAGGGAGGTAGGGCGCTCTCAGAGTATGACCCTGCCCTCTGGTTGATCATTATTTGGGATGTTTTAGAAACCAGACCCAAGGATGGAAATTGGGTGTATAGCCCAACAAATGACCTTCACTTAGAAAAAGGTGAAGACACTGGTTTTTTTTTTTTGTTAAGTTCTTAAAAGCAGCTTAGACTCCATATTTGTCACTTATAAAGATTAATTTGGGCTTACCAAATATTAAATCATGCAATTCTCCAAAGTTATTAACTATTTTAAGTTTCACAGGGCAGGGGAGGGGAAGGGATCATTGCTTCATGGTTCAGAGTGGTGGTTTTGAAACAAGAGCTACCATTTGCCATGTCAGCTGCATGATCCTGCCATGACCCTCCGCCTCTCAGTTCTCTCATCCGCACAGAGCGGATAATAACAGTTCCTACCTCACAGGGTTGCTGTCAGGATTAAGACGGTACACATTTCGGGTATAGAACAGTGTCTGGCTGGCAGTCAGTGATCGGAAATGTAATGCATCCTTGTCCCTCCTTCCCCTCCCTCCCCTTTCAGAACAACTCAAACCTAATCTATGCTGGGGGAGGGGGCAAATGCAATGAAAGGGGGAGATAGGTTACATCTGGGGAGGAATTCATCACACGAGTACATATAGGATATTGGGGGCCAGGTTTCTCACTGTTGGAGAAAGAAGAAAACCAGGAGGAACCTTTAATGGAGGTTGGATAGATTTGGAGGTGTTGTTGTGTGCTATGGTTTGTGTGTGTGTGTTCCAATAAATAGAGATGTAAATGTATGTCTGTGTCTATGTGGCATGTATAAACGTGTGGATGTGGGTGCATATGCAATACATGCACACATTTCCCATCTCTTCCACTGGGGATGGTGATACCCCAGTGGTAGTGAGAGCCCCGACATCCAAATCTTGACTTCTAAATTCTGTTTTTCATGAACAGAAACAGGGTTCTGGAGAAATATTTGATTCTAGGGCTGGGCAGTCTGTGCCAGAAAACAAGAAAGTATTCAAAGAATGATGGAGGGCTCCACTGGCCAAATTAGAGACAAATTGGCCATCATGATATATAATGACAGTAATGGTTTATAACCCAGTGAATCAAATGGGGAGCCATGAGACTATGCAGAGATAAATAAGTAAACGAATGAGTTGAATGTTTAATGAGGAATCGGGACATATGCATTGTTCCACAATAGCTCTCCATGGTTATCTCTGAGCACAGGGCTGCTTTAACACTTGAAAAATCAATTGGTGTAACCTACCACATTAAAAAGAAAGAAAGGAAGAAAGAAAGAAGAAATACAATCACCTCAATAGTCACAGAGAAAGAATTTGACAACATCCCACATCCTTTTATGATTGAAACAAAAACAATAACATTCAACAAACCGGAAAAAGAGAGAAACTTCCCCAACCTGATGAAGAGCATCTATAAAAAACCCCACAACTAACATCATACTCAATAGTGAAACACTGAATATTTTACCCGTAAAATGAGGCACAAGACAGGATGTCTGCTCTCACCACTTCTATTCAACATTGTGTTGGAAGTTCTAGACAATGTGATCAAGCAAGAAAAAGAAATAAAGAGCATCCAGATTGGAAAGCAAGAAGTTAACTGCCTTTATTCTTAGATGACATAACTATCTTTGTAAAAAAACCTATGGATGCTACAAACAGGCTACTGTAACAGGGGAGTTTAACAATGTTGCAGAATATAAGATAAATATCCCCAAACCGATTGTATTTCTATTTTCTCGCAACAATTGGAAACCATTTACAATGGCATAAAAATGTTAAATACTTAGGGATAAATCTGACAAAAAATGTGGAAATAAGAAGTCCTAAATAAATGGTGGTAATCTGTTGTCATTTTTTTCATTCTAAATAATATTCACTTTCTTACCCTAAACAAATAAACAAAAAAACACTTCCCCATGGAATCTTTGTTAAATATAAAGGAGTAAAAAGTATCTTCTCAGTGGAGAATCCTGGTGCTTTTTCACCAAGTGGTCCAAGTAAACATCACCAGGAATGGGACAAACTGGAATCGTGCAGCATCTGGTGGGATGCTCTGAAAGCTCCGCATAACTTTTCTGATAGTCCCATCTAGGCGTCACAACTGGAACCTCATCATGAGGGAACACCCAGGAAAATCCAGACTGAGGGACATTTACAAACTAGCTGGGCTATGAACTTCACAAGGGTGATTGTCAAGTCAAGAAAAGATTGAAGAGACACAAGAGATGTGAGAGCTCAAGGTAACATGAGATTCCGAACTGAATCTCCTTGCTATAAAAGACATTATTGGGACATTTGGTGAAGCATGAATGAGGCCTAAACATCCCTTTGTAATACAGTAGCACGGTTTTCAGGTTTTAATGGTTGTGCTGTGGCTGTCTGCAGGAAACACAGAAGCACTCCAAGGTTTTGGTGCAACACATCTGCAACTTTCTCTCCAATGTTTAAGATAACAAAACATTCTTTTTTCTTTTTTTTGAGTTGGAGTCTCACTCAGTCGCCCAGACTGGAGTGCAGTGGC